GGGCGCCCGCCCACGGGTCGGCTGCCCCGCCTGTCCTACTGCCGCTCGGTGGTGATCAACAGCTACTTCTGCGACCACGGCCAGATCTACCGGCTGGCCTGCAACAGCCACTACCCCAACTACGTGGTGAGCTGCGTCTACCCGGTGGTGATCTTCTGGCTGCCGCTGGCCTTCATCCTGCTCAGCTACGTCGCCATCGGCTGCACGCTGGCCAAGGTGGCCGCCGTCCAGGAGCGCCTCAAGGCCCTGCGCACCTGCGCCGCCCACCTGTCGCTGGTGGCCATCTACTTCATCCCGCTGCTCATCACCTTCACGCTGATGGAGAACATCCACCCCGACGGCCGCATCGTCAACCTGTCGCTCACCTCCGTCTTCCCTCCCGTGCTCAACCCCGTCATCTACACGCTGCAGACGCAGGAGATCAAAGATGCGCTCGGCAGGCTCGTCAGGAGCGCGCGCCGGGGCAAGCACGCCAAAATATGGACGGCGCTCCACTAGGAAGAGAATTACACATTGTGCATTTAAAACAACCGTGAAATTGCTTTTTCAAAACTTTGCTCGCTTCATGCTAATGCACGATGCAATAGGCCAATGAGAGGCTAATGAAACGAGCATCGATGCTGCGGTTACGTTGAAAGCCATCGATATTCAAACACAAAAAGTAGTCAAACGTGGACGGCACAACTAGAACAATTTACAGGCGGATATTCTTTATCCTCTGTGAAACACAATAGATAGCGCAGTTTTCCTAACCGTCTTCCTTCTACTCACACAACCAGAAGGAGCAGCCACTGGAAGTGTGATTCCGATCTGATCCAGACTATTCTCTTTATTCACAAAACAAGTTTCAACATAACATCAGCAAATCAAATTTTGTGTGTGCGTGTTTGTCAGTTGAGAAAGAATATACAGCTCATGGTGAATCCAGATGTGATGCAGATTCCGCAATCCTGAGGTCCAGGCTCCGCTTTGGCAAATCAAGACACCTTCTCGGGTGGCGCCGGCGGGTGTTGTCAGGTGGGAGTGCTGTTGGCCATCCGCCGCCGCTGGCTCAAGTGCTCCTGCCGCACCTTGTGGTAGTCGCTCATGCATTTTTTGAAGGCGCCCACGTGGCTCTGGCACACGCGCCAGTCCTGATGCTCGGCCATGCAGTCCTGCAGCGCTTCGTGCAGCTCGCCGCAGCCCGTTCGAGAGATCATTCGCTCCACGGGGTCTTCGGCTTCTTCGGCGTCCGTCGTCGTCTTCTTTGCGCTTCGGTCATGGGGAGAAGGTGATGTCATTCTGCGCACAAATGTGCCATTGGCATTAGTTCCAGAACATTGGAATTAATCATGCTTACCGATACAATTATGGACTGTCAAGACAGTAGAGCTAAATGTCCCCTTGCCCACTAGTCACTTAAAATCTCATCAAGAATTCCATAGTTATATGATAAATACACATAGTGGAATGTAATCGTACGTGTTGGTGATATTTTATTGATGTTGCTTGACCAAATGTGTTGTGCTGTCATGGCAACTCAACAGTACTTGAGGTGAGTTTTGCGTTACTCGGTCAAGCTCCCGTTCAGTCTCCTTTTGTCTCAGTACAGGTGTTTGATCATTAATTTAAAAGCGAACCTGTTATCTTTCCCCGATTGTCTCCGTGTATCCGATGGTCAAAGGAAAATGTCACAATCGCGTAATTTTAACACCAATGTTTTAGTTAAAAAAAACACTCGACGAAAACGGGTAGCCCGGTTTGTGGAATGAAGGGGGAAACATTTCAGTGTAGGGCCAAGTGTAACAGTCAAACAATTCCCGTTTTCACGGGAACAGTAAAATGCTCATAATATGAAAATATTAACAGCGCTGTATTTTTAGCTGCACGCGATATATTCGCATTGTATTTCACGTGAATACGGCGAGATAAAGGAGTGCTATGGATTGTGTTTTTGACGAAATGGGATGACGTCGTGGGGTATCAGTCAAATAGTTCCCTCTGAACACCACAACTTCCTCCAGCTCGATGAAGACTCCAAACATGTCGTATGACGGTATTAATTATGTTTTTTGCGTGTGTATTTGAACATACGTTCCATCATATATTAGACGCGGTAATACGAAATGGAGCGTATTATTTCATTTTTGAGAAATGACATAATCCAGCAGTCAAATAACTCCCCTGTGCAACGACACTTCCGCCAACGCGACTAACGGTTGTACAGGTACAGGACAAAAAAGACACTCAATAAAAGCCCATGTTAGAAGTAATCGCATTTTGTTCGTAGCTGTTTGTTTGCAATGAATTCGACCCGTTAATACGAGAATTAAAGTGTTATTGAAGTCAAGAAACAAGCTGAACATTGGGTCCGTGCAGCGATCAAATAGTTCTTTAATATTACGTCTCTGTCACGTGGTTTCCACCAACAAAATGACTCACTCCCCAATATGACTATGTATTCGTTTTGCATGTAAATGTAAATGTTTAGCATGTGTTTTGATCTGAATTATAGCTGTCTGTTTGGTTCTAGTTTGATGTGACAACATGACTGGCAAGCGCGAAGCAATGGCTCCCCCCTTTGGACAAAGAAAAGCAGCGCGTGGTGCACGCAGACAAACCCCATGTCACAAACAAATGTGCCTTTCACACACCAACACGATTTGGAGCCAAAATGTTTTCACGAACACAATTTTGCTTGTACTTAATTTCAAACAATTTCAATGGTTTGTTGGTTTGTTAGTTTTTTTGCGGGGAGATTTGGGGGCGTGAACAAGCGTTGATTGGAACAGGTGCGTTTGTCAGACGGACCCTTTTTTTGGGTACATGGCCGTCTGAAGACCACACGTTGGGGATTCCCTGCGTGAATTTCGGCGACTACGGCAAGGTAATGGGCGTTTGGTTTCCTACGTTTGGAGTTCATGACTGCATTCTTTGTTAAAAAATGTGACTTTGCAACATCTCGCCATTCTTATTTAAAGATGGAGAAACTTGATGGGAAATGTAAAAGTTGGGCTTGCGATTGCACAGCCGGCTCACCATCGGACATGTCGCGTGCATGTGACGTCGCTATCCCGTCACGTATTTGAACAAAGAAAAATGTCAGCGCACAGTGCCACCTTGTAAAATCGTTTCCAAAATGATTAAACGTGTATGAGACCTCACCATATTTTCAAGTTGTTTACAACCAATAAACTTTGCGGCGCTGTCAAGAAAAAGATCGCCATGTGAATATGAGGAAGTTGTGTTGCGATCAATAACTCTCGGGATTGTTTTTATGCGACTTGTTTGTAGAGAATATCCAGCGGTCTGAAGGCCTCATTTCAAATAAAGCGGAACTCTTCATGTTTAAAGACAACACCCAAATTGCTTCCGCCAAGGAAAAGATTTTGACATGAATTTCTTTTGCGGCCAATGTTTGACCTCCTGCTAAATTTATCTATTTATTTATTTTCTGAGAAATGGAGCCAGAAAACTTAAATGATCATCGATGGGAGAGTGAAAATAGTTTGTGTGTGTGTGTGTGTGTGTGTGTGTGTGTGTGTGTGTGTGTGTGTGTGTGTGTGTGTGTGTACCTTTCACTGAGAGATGAAGGTCACACCATCATCATCAGGAGACAAAGTTAGCAGCTTTAATGACTTCGATTTGACACAGATACACACTACTGAAACTCACACATTACATATGCTCTCAGGTTACTGATAAAGTGTGTGTGTGTGTGTGCGCGCGCGTGTGCATGCGTAAAAGATTGAGTGTTTCAGGAATGTGTGAGGGATTTAGTGGTGTGTGTTTGTGAGAGCATTTGTGTTTGTCATGAGAGTGTGTTGGAATGCGTGAGAGTCTTTGAACAGGATGCGCCCGAACGTTTTTGTGGCGCGTACGAGATTCACTTTTGCACTTAGCGTTTCGCCCTGCTCCATTCAAGGAGTGATGTCATTCGTGCCCATTATGAGGCTTGACCCGATCCGATCGTGGGATCGGGAAATCGGGGCCGATGACGTGATGAAAAAGGCTGGCATTTGCGAATTTTCTTGATTTGTTCAGTCAAGAATGCAATCTTTTCCTGAACTTGATTTGAACCACTGCTGATTTGAAACATTATGGTTGCGCGCAACCTTTATTCCAATTTTTTTTTTTAAAAAGATGACAAAAAAGCACTAAGCGTGTGAAAATGGCCCAGCGGCCATTTCCTTCACCTTCTGTTTTTGTCGGAAGTGAAGTCATTCAGCATTCGACGGAGTGTGTCAGAACTAAACTCGGGCACATTTGACAACTCGTCATCACTTGAAGGTCGACGGAAAGAAGACGGGCAATATTTTGTAAAGTGGCAGATCGAAGACTTTATTGCGTGAACGCATTCCAAAGTGGGACGTTCGCCTTCTTGCGGACGTCGGCAGCATGCGGAAGTGAAAGTCCTGTTTTGTTGAGTGAAGGCCGCCTTTGGAAAATATCACGTGGTTGCTTCGGTATCAAATTGAAGTATTGTCGCGTTTGGGATTGTTGAAGGCGTAAATCCCCATGGCCAACTTGATTTTTACTACCGCAGGCTCTATCTTGAGCTCTATAAAAAGCCCGACAGGGGACAAAACGCTGCATTAGTCCTACGTGTCACGAGAGGGGGCAACTACCGAAAAAAAACAATTAAAAATGCAATTGCGGCCACAACACAGATGCTAAATGATACTCAGTTGTGGCCATGAATGACCGCCAGGTTTCCCAGGAAGACTGAGCGCTGCGACCAATAGCATGAAAAAGCTCCTATCCTCATTTCAACAAAGTTTCTTGACACACAAAAAAACAAGCGCACCAAATTGAGCAATCGTAATCACCGTTCCTGGGTGAGCAAATGGAGAGCATCTTCTCCGGGATGTTTCTTTTGCACATTCTCGCAAAGGGGCGCTGTATTTGTATACCCAGACATCCGAGTGGTTTCACGCGAGCAAATCTGATTCGGTGGTCACTATGACAAAGAAAAGTGGATAGTAGCGTATACTATAGGTACACGAGTAACCCCCGTGCTCTCGGTCTCGAGTCTTTTGGGGGGGGGAGGGTCTCAGACGGCCACGTTGGCAAGCCGCGGGTCCGAGTCCTGCTCGTAGCGGTAGTGGTAGACCTCCATCTGGTCCCGGCAGGCTTCGCGAATGTTGTTGAGCCAGCGCTTGATCCCGCCGCGGTTCAGGTAGAGCACCATGAGGAACACCAGTCCGATGAGGGCGAGCACGATGCCCAGGAACACGTAGGACACGGCCTCCAGGTTCTCGTTGAGGCAGTCCACGTCCTCGGGGCGCAGCCGCTCCACCGGCAGCCCGCGGCGGGCCTCGGGTTCGGCGCAGCGCAGCAGCGCGGCGTCGGGGCACTGCGAGGCGTTCTTCAGCCACCAGTAGAAGGCCTCCAGCTCGCACGCGCAGCGGAAGGGGTTGCGCGCCAGGTAGACGCGGACGCGCCGCTGGCGCTCCAGCCCGCTCACGTCCTCCCGGCCCAGGCTCCGGATGGAATTGTTGACCAGGACCAGCTGGTGCAGCAGCCCGAAGGTGTGCGGGGCGGCCAGGGGCACGCCCCGGAGCCGGTTGCCCGCCAGCTCCAGCCGGTGGAGGTCGCGCAGGTCGCCGGCGCCCAGCGCGGCCGCCAGCTGCGCGGCCGCCTCGGGGACGATGGACTCGTTGAGGCACAGCGTGCGCAGCTCCCGCAGGCCTCGGAAGGCGCCGCGGGACACGCGCTCCAGCCGGTTGTGGCTCAGGTCGAGGACGCGCAGGTGCGGGAGCCCCGCGAAGGCGTCCGCCTCCACCTCGCGGATGGCGTTGGCGGACAGCGACAGCGCGGCCGCCGCGTCCAGCGCGCTGCCGTTGGCCGCCGCGGACGCGAAGGCGCCGCGCCGCAGCG